TAAGAAGAAAGTAAACCTACAGACATCGGTCTTGTTTAACAAAATCTGCCATATATATATATACACCAACCTTTTTTTAAAAAACAACCTTTAAATGCAAATGTTAAAAAATTTATAAACAAATGATTTTTTATTTTATTTATGTAAATAGGTTCCAAATATAATGCTAAGCAAATATAAACATGAGATCAAACCTCTTTCCACAGTTCTCACACTTGTCTCAACATCATGTTCAAATTGGATCTTTTCTCTGTTGTTCAGCCCATTATTTCTGTCCAAACCTACAATTAAGTACATGTTGAAAAATTTCTTATAAGCTGTACTGGGCCATTATTACAATGTTCCTATACAGAAACAAACTATGAAAAACATCACAAACTAAATACTTTTATACTGTGTTTTATATATTGTTTACAATTTGCAAACAGTTTTTCTTAAGGTTGCTATTTTACTCTAATAAATGACCTACTGTATGAAGAATAAAGTAAAGCATAGAACAATTTTTTTCTGTTATTTTTAATCACTGCTCCTTGGCACCTAAATTTATTATTTTTTCATACTATTCTGAGATCTGAGCTCACTAGTGAACCTTCTGTGAAGCACATTATTGTAAGCTCTCTGGAACTCAGAGTAACAATTACAGAGATCTCAGACTGAATACTAGTCTCTTACAAAACACTTGAAATTTACCATTCAATACATTTGCTAATTCTGCATGAGAATGTATAAAATATCATCTATTAAGATTTACAGGTTATGCATATAAAAAGGTTAATGCACTTGGTTTCCCATAATTTAGACCATACATTTTATACAGATGTGAGCCCACCGAACAGTGTGAATGAAGGACCAATTATTGAAGTCAGCTCTGTTACTCACACTACAGTTAATATAGACTTTTTGGAATTATTTACATATTAATTACAAGTCAAAAGAGGTAATTATCTCTATAGAAATCACTAGTTAGGCCTCAATCATCAATGTGTACAATTTCTGGTTTGATTTTCATACCTAAGAAAAGGTATCAACTTATTGGAAAGTGTTTACAGAAGAACTACTAACAGTACTCCGGGGATGGAAAGTTTATCTCACCGGGATACATTACGATTTCTAAAATTATTTCTTCTGGATATAACGGATTAGTACTAGTAGTAGTACTACTACTAAAATTAGGCCTTGTGGATATATGTATACTTTAATTCACACTAATAGTAATATAAAAGTTTATCAAAATCAGCTATTTATCTAAGGGGTAGTAAGTATTATTATTATCATTATACACATAATAATTCAATACTGCCAGTGTCCCTCTGTGCTGCTACAGTTGTACGTATACGATTGACAACTTCGTATTACATTGAACAGGGACTACACTGATTAGTGACTGAAGCTAAGAGTATGATGACGGAATAGCCTGGAACTTTTAGACACTGCCGCTTAATAATAATTTTTAGGGACAAATTACATTGAAGTTACGATAACTATTTCTATAATTCAATAACTTGAATAAGTTACAAGTTACTTACTAAAATTTTGTATTCGTTCACTATTTGAACGTTGTTTTTGAAATAATGTTTTCCTCGGCGAACCAAGATTTAAAGACGCCATTAAACTGGTGCTGCTACCTAGTAAATTGAAAAGTACAAGAAAAACTCGAGAATGAATAATTTAATGTTAATAATTATAATTAGAAATAGCTCTAGAGCACTGATCATCAAACTCTTTCAGTTTAGAACCCATTCTGTGAAGTGAATATTCATTCCACATTTGTCAAGTAATTATAAAATCGAGAGAGGGTAATAGCGTTCTTAAAAAAAAAATAAAGAAAGAGAGAAAGAAAGAAAGAAATAGTAACTACCCTCAAAAAGTATAAAACAACATAAGTACAATTTTTTTATAGATTATCAGCTGTGACCAGTAGAATGTTGTGTACAATAACGTATACCTAACAGTTAAACAGGTATCTAGATAACTTATTACAATATCAGAAGGGAACTATTTGCTTTATGTAACATATTCTAATTTTCATATATCTAGGGCCAATTAGAGAAGGGGCCAGGATGACCAATTGGCTTGGGTCTCAAGTTCGAAGGAGGCCTTAAATTTAGACACTTGTTTTTTTTTTTGCAATTGTTAAGTTTCACTACTTGTTTTTATGTGCCTCCCAATCAGACCAAAATGTGACACATACTCCCAGCTTAAAGCTGAAAATTATATATACAAGTTAAATATTCAAATTATGTTTTAACTTTTTTTTGGCTAATGTTTGCCTTATCTTATTTTCATGTGTGATCATTTTTTTTATTATAGCCAGGGGACTCAAATGATAGAAGTGGCCTGGGTCTCTCTGAACTTCTGAGAGGGCCTGCATATATCCTGCGTTTAGCAGTATCGTGTGGATTGTACAATATATATATATAGCTTCTGGAAAAGGTTTTCTTTACGTGTAGAACGATGTTGTAAGTTTTAAAAGGTTAAAAAAACTTGGAGATTTTTTGAAGTTAAGATTATCCTTCTACGAATGCTGTGTTATTAACTTCTTAGACACAAACTACTGACTGAGGAAAATTTTAACCATACGTCAAAGGCAAAGTATAAAAAAGCCATTTAAGTAACACCACTATTAGTTATGACTCTTAGTATTTACAGTTTAATGCTTCACTTCATTTAAAATGATATTGAATACATTTTCAGATATATACTCATTTCTATGATAATATACCTGATTTACATGCTTATTTTCAGAAATACATTTTAATGTGTGTGTGAATCTCTATTATTTACAAAATTAAAACGAAAACATATACATTTCTTTCATATTTTTTTAAATAGAAGAGTTGGTACTTACTACTTGTAAAACATACAGCTAATAAGTATTTTTGAAATAAAATATGTATCTAATTCTAAAAACATTGGTGAAATTTTAATTCTTTCATTTTAACTTCATTTTATATTAAAATAACTACAAAACTTTTATTTTATTAGATATACAGCGTTTCACCAAGTAACTACAGATATTATACTGTGTATATCCGACAATCAATTTCTTTTAACTGTTTAAACTAACTATAATTTTCACCAGAGGGAAGTACCAAAGCCATTTTATTCTTTTTAGCCGACATTTTATGGTTATAACGTTAGAACCCTGATTATTGAAATATTCATGGTTTTAATGACAATTAGTTAATTTTTTTTTCAACTTTCAAATATTATTAAAACGTTTACTGTTGCGTGCATCGTAAAAAACAACACTGTATTTACGGCGATGTAATGTGCATTCGCGGTACGTATAGTTTGGAAATGTGTTTGTTTAAGTAACCCTTTCTTTTTCTTCTTTTTTTTTAAGTTCCGAGGCACCATAGATATTAATGCATCATCGGCGATTCTAGGGCAGTTTTTCCTAGTGGCGCCCATCTTCTTTCCAGATAGCCGTCTGTAAGTTAGCAGTGAAAAACTAGGGAAAGGCAGCTAGTCAACACCACTCGCTGCCAACTCTTGGGCTACATTTCTTACCAGCGAACAGTGAGATTGACCGTCACATTATAATGCCCCTACAGTTGAAAGGGAAAAGGGCGACGGAAATTCGAGCCCTCAACCAGCATATTCGGCGTCGAGCGCCCATAGTAATCAGGCCATACCAAGCTTTACCTTACACACTTATGATTCAAGCACAAAACAAAGTAGAGTGTCAGAACAAAGGCGTTCCCTGAAACGTGCATAGTTCATAAGTGCTAATCTAGCTAAAAATAAAATATACGTACTTACACGTGGTACGAGGTGGTAAAGAAATTAATTCACATAAGAAAGACGGGAATAAATTATCTATTGGACTAAATCAAACTTGGCTGAACTTAGATAAAAACTAACATGTAATAATTGTTTATTACATTGAGCTGGACGCTAACATTATCCTGTTATTCACATTTTTAAACGCTCTGTTTATGTCCCTCACTACTACTGTGACGAGTTATTCCACCTTAGTGCCCGGCATGGCCAGGTGGTTACGGCACTCGACTCGCAATCTGAGGGTCGCGGGTTCGAATCCCCGTCACAC